GAGTTAGGAATATCTACAAAATACATGTCAACCTTTAAAATCTAAGGAATATTTTTTCCCAACCTAAAGAGAAATGTTTATTTAACAATAATCTGGTTGACTTGACTAATAATAAATCCAGTATAATTTAAGCTTTGAGAGTTATTTTATTTTACCTATTCCATAGTTAAAATTTAAGACCTACTACATTTTTGTTTGGTGTACCCAAACCTAAAGACAAAACATAATGAGGCACCTGGGTGGCTTAGTTGGTTAAGCATACGACTCTTGGTTCCAGCTCAGGTCATGATCTCATGTTTTCATGGGTTCGAGCCCTGCATTGTGCTCTGAGCTGGCAGCTCAGAGCCTGCCTCTCATTCTCTGTCTCCCTCTCTCTCTCTCTGCCCTTCTCCCACTTGCACCGTCTCTGTCGCTCTCAGTATAAATAAGCTTAAAAAAAAAAAAGACAAAACATAACAAAAAGCAATTTTCAAAATCTCTATCACTGTTTTTTCCTTACACTCTCAACAACCACCTACAACTGCTTTTCCACTGTTACCTGATTTACATTCTTTATTTACCCTTTCCCACAACTCCAGGTTTGATTCAGCATTATCTAAAACCACCATTTAGCAACAATGGTATCAGAGTTTACTAATCATTGATTCTTCCTCTTTCATCACTGTCAAGTCACTGTTTATTTCTCAGATTGTCAGACTTTACAGATCAAACACAGACTTCCCCCTCATCAGCCCCTGTCATTTATGTTTCTTGTAGATTAATTCCACAAGGGGCCCCAAACAATTGCATTCTGAACACTGTTAAACATTAGTTATCTTTTTTTTTTTTTGCACTTAGATTAAAACTTAGAATACCTTTAAGTATCTTTTTTAGAATTTTCACAGTCTTTCAAAGAAACAAGTCAGAAAAGTGTGGGGAAACAATTACACAAAAGCCAAGTCACAAGCATTGTTGGACAAAGAATTTGGCCCCATTTGACTGTAACTCACTCAAAGTTCATTTGGCTTTTGTGGCCATGGTAAGCAGAGGGAGTGGGGATGAAAAGATTTTTATAGTGGATATTTGTCACTATAAATGCAGGACTGCCCATATTTAAGCCTCCCCTCCTCTATTTAGGGAATTCCCTACCTTACGTAACTTGAATATGATAAACCGAGTCTTCTTCCCATAATGGACTGAAAACGTCAGACAAGCCCACTCCCCAACTCTTGACAGCGGGAGCACAGGCATATGATCTAGGGTCAGCTAACCAAAATAATCCACCTGGAATTTTTACCTTGGAGACAGTAAGGCAAGCTTGGGATAATTCTTCCTAGTAGGGAGGAGAGATGGGAGTGGGGGTAGCAACATCCTTTTTGAGTAGTAGCGGGGCCAGTAAGTGGCACACAATTTCTGGTTCAGTGGTGCAGGCCAGGGTATCCGTGTTCTGTGGTGACACCAGACTGAAGTGTGATTTTGCCTGTGATTCTGGCTACAAAGGCTTGCTTTTATTCTTGCCATTTCCAAATCTGGTTCTGTAGGTTTTCACAATTCTGTATGCTACCCAATTTTCAATAATTCCTCTTCTGCTTAAATTAGCCAGATTTTTTTTTTCATTGCTTGTAACTAATAATCCAAACCAATACAACTATCATGTATTGAGACTCCCTTTTCACCCATGGACTTGACATGCGCTCATGTCATCTATTCCTTTCTGTAGAGTGGACATTATTTCCTCACATTTTATCTTCACGTATAGAAGAAAACATTAAGATTTAGAGAGGTAAGCAGTAGAAAAAGTATTTTTTTGTCTTACTTCAAAGTTACACTTTTTCTGCAACATTTTCAAGAAGGAAATAAAAGTTAAAAAGAATCATATTCATAATTTTTTGAGTCTTTAAAATTTCTTTTACCTCAAAAGGAGATTTTCATAAATTAAAGCTTCTGTCTCACTTTTGGCTGATCAGTTTTATAATAGGAATCACAAGCCAGTGCTTACAGACCCAAGTCAGGAAGATCTTGGGTTAGTCAGCTTCTTCTCTGGAATTCAGTTTCCTGTCTACAATGGGAACTAGACCTTTGCTTTTACTAAACCAAGGAAGGCCAATATCCATTGCATTGAGACACATGTTTGTATTTATTGTGGGGTTTCCTGACAAGGCACTATTGACATTTTGGACTAGAGACTTCTTTCTTGTGGGGCAGTCCTTTACGTTGTAGAGTGTTTAGTAGTATCCCTCACCATTACTTTCTAGATGCTCATAACACTGCCTATCCTCTCCTGACCATTATCACCATTTATTGTCATAAAAAATGTCTTCAGACATTGCCAAACTGCCCCTGGTTGAGAACCCCTGGGTTATAGAAAGGAAGAAAGGAAGGGAGGCGAGGAGGGGGCATAAAGATAAAGAAGATAAGAAAGCAAGTCAAGGAGGATCCTGGCTTGAGAATCTAAACAAAGACATAAATCTAATTCAATCCAAATTCAAATGCAAAGCATATTCCTTGAGATTGCAATCCTCCTTGTGCTGAAAGATTAAACCTAGATCCTGGGGTGTATTTTGAACAGTTGCTGGGTGAGTCATTTGAGTTTCCATTCTTGAGAAAGGTACCCATGCTTCTTTATTAGGTTTCTTCTCGCCCAAAGAAGCCAAGCAATAATGATGAGATAAGGTGTTAAATCTTTTCAGAGAAAAGAACAGTCTGTCTCACACTTAGCCTTAGGAACCCATAAACTCAAGACCTAAAAACTCAATCTAGGGAATTTTACACTCAGGGCCCTTAGTCAACATGTGAAAATTCCAAAAGTCAGCAGAAAGTATGCCAGAAGCTGACCAGTGATGGCTGTTTTGTGGCTGCGGCTTAGCAGAGCATGACTGCAGAGGGGACTGTCGCCTCCAGAGCAGGTACAAGAAGACATGCATGTCCTTCAAGCACCCAGGCTGTACCTTTGTACTATACTTTCTCTGCAGTTTATGGTATCAATAAGACTTTGCCTTCTACCTGGAAAAAAAAAAAGACTTCTCAGCTTAACTCTAAATAGGTGTGGTCTAGGGGAACAAATGGAGCTTTTGTTCTTCAAAACATTTTCAACTTTTTATGATCAAAACTATTTATATTTGTAATATTAAAACCAGGAAACAACTTAAAACTCCAACACTTAGTAGTTAATCAAATCTGGACAATACTCTTGAAAGTCATTAGACATTAAAATTTATGTTTATGGAAACTATAAAATAATATGAAAAATATAATAATAAAAGGTACAGAATATAAAGTATATAAGTAGGTTTACAATTGATAAAATAAAAAAATAAAATAATAAAATAAAACTACTTACTATTATAAAATAGTAACATTTTAGAGATAATGTCGGCATTACAGGAAAGCTATAGAAATACCATGGAAGAAAAAAAATATTATACAGTGTAATTTCAGGGCTCAAAGAAAAGGGTATACTGCAGTGACCAACAGAGGGTAGAAAATGAAATCCATCGCTATGCTGCTTAACAGAAAAACTAGCTGCCTCTAATGGCAGATGACACCAAAGGATTTTGTAGACATTTCATTTTAATTAACTATGAATTTACTCTCTCCATTTTAATTAACTATGAATTAACACAGAAGAAAAAAAAAGTGTTCCATGAGTATTTCTCTTGGCTTTTTCAAAGCCTAGGCAGAGAAAAGAAACCAGAAACGTGTTTGATTTGGGGACAAGACTAACACTGATTTTTTTTTTCCCCTCCTTGCTCTTTTTTTTCCAAATTTTCTTTTCTTGAACATTACTTTCCTATCTGAAAATTCTAAAAATTAAAAAAAAATAATTCTCTTGTTGAGAAATTAGTAATAAAGTTTGTTGAAAATCAGAATATTGATAGAAAAGAAATCCCTTATCATTCCTTATCTCAGATAGTAAAAGAAAAGAGGACTTAAAAAAAATCAAAAGAGAGGAGTAGAAAAGTCTTTTGGGAAAAGCATACAGAAATCCTTACTTACTCTGGAAATAGATTATCAGAGCAAAGGAACTTTTGGCTTCAAAATGAAAACTGCAGCAGAGAGGTAGGTTGAAGGGGACATCAGAAAAGCTTTTCAATATTAGAAAGGGTTTCTTTGGAGCGATGGGCTCAGGCCAACCAGCATAGGGAAATTCAGGTCTTCCATTGGGGAGGAGAGAACTTCTCTATATAATCTTTTGCTTAAAATGCTTTTAAATTCCTCAGCAGGGATGAGCACAGCAAGTAAAAGAGCCTCAACAAAAGCGTGCCTGGGACAAATGAAGCCTTCCCTCTGCAGTCAGGTTTCAGAACACACAAGTTCCTCTGAAGACACTCGAGGCCTTTCCTTCCATTATTACAAATAGATGAAGGTAACTGACCCATTTTGATGTTTTATTCTCATCCAAGTCAACAGTATTTTTGAGTGACAAAAATATTGTCCAAACTTGATATTTGAGTGGACCAAGTGATAGATGAGTTGAACAATTTATCTCTGGCTCTAAACCCCTCTTCTTGGTAGCCCATTGTTTCCCTAGCCATAAAATGTTACTGAAACAACAATAATAAAGAGAAAACCTGCTCATTTTCCCATACTAGTTAATGGGAGAAGAAAACACCTGCCTGTTGCAGTCCTACAAAAATCGTTGTAATATAGGGTCACAGAAAATCCAAAGGTTTATAGCCCACTATAAAACAGCTCTTTGTCTTTCCCCACTAATTCCCTAGTGTCACATTTAACAAAACAAGGAAACTACAGATAATAGACGTGTTTGCAGATTAGCCTTCCAAGCCATAAATAACAGAGGGGTTTGCTCACCTACAAATATTAAGGCAGCTTATCAATGTTTAAGCCCTTTGTAATGGTTGCTAACATTTTAACCCAGACAAAATTGGAATTTTTTCTTCCCTGTCTCCTTACATTGACAGAGCACACATTCATAAGATTCTATGATCAGATTTCATGGTATAAAGAGTGAGACATCATCTAAACACTTGGCTGCTGCCTGAGAGGCCCTGTTTTGGAAGATGCATCTGCTTTATGCCTTCCTTGCTTTGCTCTCTCTTACCTCTGGTTTCCATCCTAACTGTCCTGGGAGATGTAGCTGCGATTCAGTGCACTCGGTACAATGCTACAGGCTAACAGAGGTACCGTCAGGCCTTCCTTCCACCACCAAGAAGCTCTACATTAGCCACAGCAAAATTCAACACCTCCAGGTAACCATTCTACAGTCAAGTTGCTGCAATTTTATTTTTTGAGGCAGGGTGAGGGGCAAGTGTGGGGCTGTTGACGTTTAATTTAAATAATCCAAACTCAGAACTAGTGGTTATCAAGTTTGCGTAGCGGCACTATCATTTTGCCTTCTACTGCAGAGATGGGTGTATGCCTCTGGATATTTCTTTGGTCAAAAAAAAAAATCTGAATCTATAATTAATGGTATTTTATTTCAGTTTTTATTTTTAACAAATGTAATTATATTATTGCAAAGTAAAAGAAGTGGCTCTCTCTCTCTCTCTCTCTCTCTTTTTAATGTTTATTTTTGAGAGAGAGAGAGAGAGAGAGAGCAGGCAGAGGAGGGGCAGAGAGAGGAGGACAGAGGCTCCAGAGGCAGTGAGCCTGATGTGGCACAAATCATGAGATCATGACCTGAGCCAAAGTCTGACGCTCAACCCACTGAGCCACCCAGGTGCCCCAGGAGGTGGCTCTCTCTTAACAAAAAGAGTTTGAGAGCAAATGGCTACTTCCTGTTCCCAGGATTAAGAATAAGTGCTTTCAGGGCCACCTGAGTGGCTCAGTCGGTTGAGCATCTGACTTCGGCCCAGGTCATGGTCTCAGGGCTCATGAGTTTGAGTTGCTCGTTGGGCTCTGTGCTCAGAGCCTGGAACCTGCTTCAGATTCTGTCTCCGTCTCTCTCTCTCTCTCTCTCTCTCTCTCTCTCTCTGTCTCTGTCTCTCTCTCTCTGCCCTTCCCCTGCTCGTGCTCTCTCCCTCTCTGTCTCTCTCAAGTATAAATAAACATTAAAAAAAAGAAGTGCTTTCAGGGGAAAGGGGAAAAAGTACTTTTGTTTGTGCCATAAAAAAACAGATGACACTTAGAGCATCATAAGACCATCAAGATGAACCCTAGCATCTGAGAATTATTTATATAAATCCTACAAAACTGCCAGGCCTCAGTGTCTTTGTGGACACCTCTACAGAGGAAATACATGTTTATGTTTGGGCACATTACTGCCGTTCTCGTTCTATGCACTTCTAATTCTAACATTTTTATTTATGCCTGCCTATTCAGAGTGCTGTAAAGAATGCTATAGATTTGCCTGACTTTTGTAATATGAAGGAACTTTTTGGCCTTTGGTATTTTGAAAAGTATCAAGAGATAAGGGTTCTCATCTTCATTTTCTCCCTAGCTAGAGATATAATCATCTTAAACAAGCAGTTAAAAAATCTCCGGGCCTCACTTTTTACCTTTGTGAAGTAAGAAGCCTGGGTGTGATTGTGATCCCAGGCTCCTTTTCCCTGGCAGATTCCATGGCTCTCTGGTTTTATTTTTACTAGTCACTGCTTCTCCCTCATAGGCCAAATCCTGAGATAAGGAAATACCTCTCTGTGATCCAGGCACAGTCAGCAGGTGAATGTACTTTCCCTTCAAAAGAGTCACCATCCCCTTTCATTTGGTTAAGACATTTTAACGTACGTGTGCCTAAGCAGGGAGACTTTCAAATATGTGGCATGGTATTTATTTCAAGGCTCAATAAGCAAAATTGCCTAGTCGTCATGTTTACTTTGCTCTTGTAATCCAGTAGTGCCTAATGCCAGAGAGCAAGTCTGACCTTGTCAGGTCTCAGCATTTAAGTAGGACAGCTGGTTAAAGGGCGAGATGCTTAAATATTTGTTCTGAGGGCCTGAGACGCCAAGAGCTGAAGTGTCAGCTAAGCCGGGTAATGATCCCACACTGTTGCCTTGCAGCCGATAAGATGAAATTATCCCTCTCATCAAATTCAGTTATTGAATGAGTGCATTTGTCGTGGGTTTAGGTTCACTGAACAGCAATATTGCCTCTTCTCCGAATTTAACCCAGTTAACCGCCTCTTGGAAGGACGGTTCCCAGCAGAAAGGTTGATGAAAGACAGGATTGTTTTGCGAAAGTAATAAACAGCTCTAAGCAATAATACTTCTATTTTAAAAACCCTTAGGTTTTAAATTGACCATATTTCACGAATGTGAGCTGTATCTTGTGAATATGCTGTATGTTCTGTCCTTTTGGTTGGAACTACAGAATCGGGTGCCTGTATTTCAAGAAAAAAATACCTTGAAAATACCTTCAGATTAATAGCAATAGAAATTACATATGCACACACATATGTGTATCTACACATATATACAACATATGTGTATATATCTCTGTACACACACCGCATATGCATGGATGTGTACGCACATACATATATCCATGCATAAAAGTAAAAATGTTTCTATTACTTATCCATATGTTTTGTGTTTGGGATTGTGAATGCTGTGTTTGAGACTAGGGATAAAATATGAAAAATTCACAGTTCTTGCCCTCACAGGATGAAGGCCTTTATGCGTGCATCTGTAAAAATTCCTACTTATTTGAGGCACATCCATCAGACTGTAACACTCCCCATTTGTTCTTTGCTTGCCTCATACTGTGCCTTGGCCCCTTCCCTCCTGGCTCCTGGTCGTCCTCTCCATCCTGAGTCCCGCATCTCCTTGGTGCCTTCAGTGTCCGATGTGTAAGCCTCACGATTCCTTGAGCTCACAAGAAAGTGTCTATCTACATTCCTACTTCACCACAGCTGTCTGCCCTCTTGGTTATATCATAATCATTATACCCAAAATGCCTCCACTCAGAAATCTCGAATTCCTCCACTCCCTGGTCATTATCTTCTTTCGTCTCACCTGCCACCCTCTCTACTCTTCCATCCACCCCATGGAGATTTCGAACCCTAGATCTGCCCATGTTTTCTCAGATAATTAGTTCATTTCTTATCCATCTTCTTTCCCTATCCCTGCCTTTTTTGCATCCCAAAATTAATGATCTCAACACCTATCCAGCAAAGCCTCAGTCTTAGATTAGGGTGATCATTTTCCTTTGTTTCTCCTATGCCTGGATACCCAGATGCTGCTGGAGATGGTCACACAACCTCTCTGCACACATGTGCATATGTATGTGTGGTTTGCAACAACCACAAATCCATAGAAACACCACAAGTTTAAGGTCTCCGGCCTCATCTGGGTCTTCAGCGTCACCCATCTGCCCTTTCAGTTCTTCTTCCTGTGTTCCCTTGACATCTTCCAAAACTTCAGTGCAGCATTGGGCTGCTTTCACAATCCCTGCCATCCTTGCTCTCCTATCACCAACGATTGGTCTTCCCTTTTATTGACTATTCTTGACAAAACTGAGGCCATTAGTCTTGATCTCCCTCAACTCCTGCTCACTGTGTACTAACTTGTCTCCATTCAATTCTGCAAACTCTTTCCTCCAGACAGAGAGGATGAGATCTCCCTCTGTCTGCTCAAGGCAACCTCACACCCATGCCCTGGAGTCCACCTTCCTCACCTCTCCCTGGAGCTTGCTCCATCATCTTCCCCATACCCATATCTCCAGTGGCTCTTTCTTTATGAGGGCCCTGTTCTAGCTTAGAAATAGGCTCCTTTCATTACAATAAAAATAACATTATTTTAAGTCTGTGTGTAAAAAAAAAAGGTAATCTGTACTTACTGTTTCTACTTCTTTACCTCTTTTTTTTCTTTTTTGAGAGAGAGAGAGTGAAAGCTGCAGAGAGGGGCAGAGAGAGAGCGAGAGAGAGCGAGAGAGAGAATATTAAGCAGGCTCCACACTCAACACTGAGCCCAATTCAGGGCTTGATCCCAAAACTTGGGGACCATGACCTGAGCCAAAATCAAGACAGATGCTCAACTGACTGAGCCACCCAAGCAACCCATCTTTATCTACCATTTATTCTTTAATTCACTACTGTCTGCTTTCTACCCACTTCAGTTAAAAACTGTTCTCTCCAGGACATTGGCTCACTCCTGTTTCTTGAAATTCTCTCTTTTGCCTTCCGTGGCACCATACTTTTGTGTCCTCATTACTCCTCTCTGATAGTTCTTTTCTGCCATTTTTGTCGGTTTCTTTTCCTCCACTGCCCCTTCTTTTTTTTGTCATCTCCAGGGAGTCTCAATCCTTGGTCATTCCATTTCTTACTATGTACACTCTCCTTAGGAGAGTGTACTTTAAGGAAGTGGTGATGGCTCCCATAACTGAGTTTCAGATTCATGCCTTACCCCTGTGTTTCAGACTTATCCAGCTGCCTCCTAGACTTCTTCATTTTGGTCTATGATCTCAAAATAACATGCCCAAACTGTAGTCAATCTTTCTCCCTACACCTGTGGTCTTTTGTCATTGGCTTCTCTTACTTAAAATAATGTCCTTAAGGTTCATCCATGTTATAACATATGTCAGAATTTCCTTCCTTTTAAAGACTGAATATTTCATTGTATGCATATACCATTTTGTTTATCCATTCATCAGTTGATGAACACTTGGATGGCTTCCTTTTTTTGGCTGTTATGCTCCAAAGAACATTCATGTACAAGTTTTTGTGTGCACATATATTTTCATCTGTCTTGGGCATATACCTAAGAGTGGGATTTCTGGGTAATATGGAAACTATGTTTAACATTTTGAGGAACTGCTGGACTGTTTTCCAAAGTGGCTCCATTGTTTTACATCCCTATAGCAATGTATGACAGTTCCAGTTTCTCCACATTCTTGCTAACATTTCTAATCTTTTGTTGAATTATAACCATCCTAGTGAGTGTTAGTTAGTATCTCATTATGGTTTGACTTTTCTTTTTAATGTTTTAATGTTTATTTATTTTTGAGAGAGAGAGAGACAGAGCACAAGCAGGGACAGAGCAGAGAGAGAGGGGGACACAGAATCTGAAGCAGGCTCCAGGCTCTGAACTGTCAGCACAGAGCCTGATGCTGGACTCGAACCCATGAACCATGAGATCATGACCTGCACTGAAGTTGGACACTTAACCGACTGAGCCACCCGGGCACCCCGGGTCATTATGATTTGACTTTCATGTCACTAGTGGTTAATGATGTTGAGCATCTTTTTGTGTTTGCATATATTTTTTGGAGAAATGTCTACATGAATCCTTTGCCCATTTTTTTTAATTGGGTT